TGACAGTTGTGTCCCCTGTGCCCAGTCAGGGTTCTCCAGGGCTTTTCATGAGCTGAATGTCAGTGAAACACAAGCTGCCATGTGCTTGTTGGTTTCAGAAAGTGCCATATATAATGAGGAGAGAGGCAGGAAGCTGCCAGGGAGAAAAAGACCTGTTAGAGCAGTAGCAGAGCATCAGAGACTTCTGTCTGAGACTAGAGGTGGAAACAGTACTGGAGTCCATGTAAAGTAAAGGTCCAAGCATCTTTACCACACTACAGATGCTGATCCATATATTATACAATGAAAAAGTTAACCATGTTCTGAATTACAGGGCTGTAATTCCATCCTGAGGATCCATCGATTCCAGGAACCACCTGAGCTGTGCCCCTGTATGCAATTATAGTCTGGTTGTACGTGGCAGCTGCCTGGCACTTTTTTTCTTCCCTATGTCCTTAACACTGAGGTAGAAGTTTCAATCAGTATTAAAACACGCAAAAGAAAATGAACAGAATCATAGTGGGCCAGTAGTTCAAGGACCTTCAGAATTGGCAAAAACTTTCCCAATGTGGCTACAAAATGTGTAACTGAAGAAGCAGAAACAAAGTAATCTTTAAAATGTCATACAAACAGTATCAGAAAGTACAGTAATGAGTTGCAAGACACTTGTTTGATCTGGCTTAAAAAAAGAGGTCAGTGATAATTTGTAAGTTCTCCCTCTGCACTAGATGGCAGAAGTAGAACTTTGTGATATCAGATACTGTCAGATACATTTGGGTATCCAAGTGTTCAGCATGAATTCCTTGAAAGATTTAACTGTTTTGAGCAGTGACCTAAATATAGGTCACTTGTGTTAGCTGGCTTCAATGAAACATTGCTTTTCTTTCCTATGAAAAATACATGTTTAAGTATATATACATGTCTGACAGGAATAAAAAAAAACCAAACCAAACAAAACAAAAACAAAACAAAAAAACCTGCATTCCTTCTGGAGTTTATAAGGAAGATCAAAGTAATATAACAGTAATAGTAAACTTTACAAGGCAACTTAAATGACATATTGGTCATACCATACTTAAATAAAAGGAGCACAAATCACCAACAAAGTATTCTGTGTGTGTTTTACAACCCCTGTAATACTAAAACAAGTTTATATTAATACCTAATGAAAATAGTTGAACTACTGCTGTAGGGGCTGCTGTTAGTTACCTCTACTGTACTCAATACCATTGAGTAAATGAGCTTCAAATTTCACTTAAAAGAACTCTGTCAGCTTGAATTTCATCCTGTTGATTTAATTATTGGCAGGAATGTGTAAATACATTCAGTGTAAGAAAGCTGTTAAAGCCAAAGGAAAAAAAAAAAAATCTTGTTCTTACAGCTATTTTTTAGAGAAATACTAGATGTTCCAGCTTTAACACTACATTTTTTAAATGGGAAAAAATCCGTGAGTAAGGAAGACAGATACTGTTTACAAGTCTTCAAGGAGAACATTTCACTGACATTAAAGGCAACTTTGCAGACTCACTTGAAATGTATCAATTTGTAATCTACACATTTACAAGGGATGCTCTGCTCTGAAAGCTGTTTCCCAATCTGTGCCAAAACGTGTGAGGCTGTGTAGAATACTTCTGATGATAGACCTCCAGGCTCTGTTTCTCCATAATTGATTTAGTTATTAGTTATGCAGGGAGGAAAGAGATCCCTGAGGCTTGGTAAAAGAGTATTCAGTTACTAAAAGCAGCCCTTTGTGTATTAATGTCATCCTACCAGCTCTTTCTGCTTATTATTCCTTCGAGTCCTGCTTTCCTGGACACCAGCTGTCACAGAGGAAGTCTCCAGCTTTTTCGTCCCCTGCTTCCCTGGCTGGCTGAAGTTGCAGCAGCATGGTCTGGAGCGTCTCCTTCACCACCTGGATCTCCCTCTGCAGAGACTGTGCAAGCTTTATTAAGGAATAATTCTATAGGTGATTGGCAGCTCCTTTTCTCTTTCCAAGTTATTTAATAAATGGTTGTTCTGCTCACACCAGATGGCCATGGCTATCTAATTGTAGCTTCAAGTTCTTCCAAATTATTTAGATTAAATATTAATACATTTATCTCACTTGCTTTCAAAAAAAAAATAAATAAATAAATAAAAAAAAAACCCAGGCAAAGTTCTCAAGTAGCATTATTTAACAGATATAAAATGGGGAGGGAAGGAAGGATACTGCTTGGATACCCTTCTCAGGGGAAGGAAGATGATGATGTTATGCTATAAAGGCAGATAAAGGCAGACACATAAGCTGTTGGTTTCCTGTTGGATACAGGGTGGGTTTTTAAGCTGGACACATAAACCAACAACCACATTTCTGTGAATGAAACCTAAGGCCATCTTCAACCGTACTGAAGCCAGTGTTCCCTGATGAACAGATACAATAACAGCAAGGACCCCAAACTGCAAATGTAAAAGGCTTGAGGGGAAAAAAAAAAAAAAAAAAAAAAAAAAAAAAAAAAAAAAAAGCTCAGCTCTGGAAGTAATTCACCAGTAGGAGAATTTATGAAAGAGCCAGAAATGCACTTTTTCATGAGGAATGAAGCAAGTTGACACCAAAACAACTCACTTTCAAAAACACAATGCAGAGGAAGAATAATGCACGAGGATAGGCTTTATCTTTTACGGAGACCATCCGTTATGAAATGTTGTTTTACCCAAACCTGATGTCAACACAATGTCAACAAAAGAAAGATGGCCTCAGGTTATGCAATGATAAAAAGTGAGTTTCTACCTTTGAAAAACTGTGACTACACAGAACCATAGGAAAGCCGTGCAAAAACACCACCATAGGTAGTTACAGGCCTCTGAAAACCCTTTTGGCTGCTTTTGATTCTGCTTCACTTCCTCAAAATTTCATCGCTGTTTGTACATATTTAGTATGATGATTTAATTCATTCACCAGGAGTATTCATGCATACTTCCAATTTCTGGACAGCTCTAATAATGTGAGTGGATTCTCTGACTACTCCCAGGCAGTAACAGCAGCACCCACTAACTTCTTATCCTAGGATCTCAAAACACCATACAAGGACAAATCAATTATGCCTCGCAGCTTCTCTGAAGTAAGAAACATCATTATTCTCTTATAAGTGCTCCTGGACTGTCTACCACTCTGCAATTCAATCAAGAGGCTCTGCTGAAAATTCTTCAACATATGAACACCATGAAGCCTCTAAAATTTAATTACTGTAGTCTCTGACTACATGCTGTTATTTGTAATATCCCAAGCAATTACAAAGTTCTTTTCAGGTATAAAGAAAAATTGAAAGATTTGAAAAATTGGAGGATGAAAAAAAAAAAAATAAAGATGGGAAAAGAAACTCTTAACCAATAGAAAGATGGGGGCAACAAGAACAATGACTGCTTAGTCTTACCTAGAACAAGATTCAATAAACTCTATGTGTTCCAATAACAGTGTGGTGTCACTCATAACTCCACAGTCAGATGTAGATCAGTAACTGTCAAGCAAGTCCTTACGGCTAGGAAAAATACATGACATAAGACTGAGCATGGAATTTCTATCCATGTTACAGAGGTTATGTCTGAATCACCAGCTTCACTCATTTTAAAAATGAAAAAAAAAACCCAACACCCACGCATTTGCATGGGTCCATATGTAAATATCTCCCTCATGCTTAAATTCTCTATCCAGTGTTGCAGATGTTGAGCCAGTATCAAAGGCAGGGGCCCTGAACAAGTTTCAGCAAGGAATATGTTTGGTCCTATTATCTTGCAGTGAAAAATTGGCAAAATCTCTCCAATGTAGCACAAGTAGAAAGCTAAAGTACTCGGAAACAATATCATACAAATCCATTATCAGCAATAACAATGCTATTCTAAAGCAGTCTTGAAGCTTTTTGCCCACTTTACTTTCTCTTTGAAAAAAAGTCTTGTGAAAGATCTGTCAAGATCCTCCTGAAGAAGGATATTTGAGCTCACAGCAGAATCTATGATTGTCAGGAAGATAAAAGCAGATCTGTCTAATGATTGTAGAGTTGCTTAATTTTTAGTGAAGAAAAAAAAAAAAAAGGGCCATTGGTTCATCAGCATATCTTCTGTTCTCCTAGCACAGATGTTTAGAGAAAAGAGACAAAAAGTAGATATTACAAAACAATTGTCATCCTATAGGAAATATTTGAAACTGAGTATATTGTAAGACAAAAGGCCTTGGAAAGACAGCTGAGAAGTTGGCTGTTGTAGGGCTGAGTTAATCTTATGGGATTTTAGAGAATAACAGCAATTTTGGACATCTGGAAAGGAAATTAAGAGCAGAAAAAAATCAGAAACAGTTTTTATTTACGTATTTTGCTTGTTTTTAGCAGCTGAGTGCTGCAGTGGCTGAAGAGAGCACCTCACCGAAATGTCACACTACGGTAGTAGTGAATCTACATCAGGAATATTCCACTTCCCTTTTCCATTTATGTCTCCCTCTTTCACAGCTGTAAGACATAGTTCTACAAAATAACCCAACACTCCTGCTTAGCAGCAAGAACAAAAAGCAGAATCACCAAAACATTTTTAAAAACTTTGCCTTTTCAGTGATCTGGATAACAGCTGTCTTTAAAACATTTGCTCTAGTGAGATACAGAGGGCAACCAAGTGCATGGGTGGAAAAGCACTGACCTACGTCAGTCACAGCACGAACAAGAAAGGTGGGAACCATGTTCTCTCAGAGTGACACACCACAAAGGACCATTTCTCCTGTCATTCAGAATAAATATCTAAGAGCATACCATTGGCAATCCTCACTCTTGAGGGATCCCAGCATTACTTACAGGTTGACTCAATGAGATTGCTCAGTGAAGTACAGTCAAGGACTGAATTCTATACCACTGATTCTGTGGAAAATCTGTACTGGTGTAAAGCATGCTATACACAAGAGTCTGTCACGTAACAGTGAAAGACTGGCAATGTAATTTCTAGTGCCTAATGGACGTTTAGGCACAACACTCTATTTTCAGAAAAACTGCTTAAAACATTCACTTTATGTTGAGGTACGGAGATTCTATGTGGCTTTTAAATAATAGTCCAGCCAGCTCTTCTTCCAACAAAAGCTTTTTCACCAGGAAGATCTATTACATGCATTCAAGTTGTCTATCAAAATGCAACTGCTAATTAAGAACAAAAATGACTGTGAAATTGCAATATAGGCTCCATTTAATTTTACTGAGAATTCCAGGCCTTTACTGTCAGGAAAGTAACACCTCTCATCAGCTCTGCAGACACCAGAATGAGTCACCTCTCCTCCTTCGGTTTTTCCAATTAGTGATGTGGACTGTTTTCTTACACTTTCCAATGATTAACTGTAATTGAATGTTTTGTGGGTTTATTTGCTTATACTACACTGAATTTAGCAAATATATCATAGTGCTAGAGATGAACTCTTCTCCTCCTTCCCCTTCATTATTTGATGCTTTTTATACAAAAGTACAGATTAATATTTACTGTGAAAAGCTTCAATATTAAATGAGAATCCTGAGTGCATTTGTGCAAATACTTAGGACCAAGGAATTTCACTAGATTTCTCTTTTGTGCAGGTTGTGCTGGCAATTACAACTAGCAGCATGATTGAATTAAATGTTTCATGCCATCAAAATGCAGAATGAAAAACAATGACATCTGGGATTTTTCTTCTAATACAAACTTAATTATTAATCAAAGCTATGACATACACTAAACATTGGCAAATGGCTCAAGAGCATCAGGAATTTATTTTTCTCAGTGGGGTCTTTAGAAGTATTTGGAAGACAACAAAACTAATCTCCATCCTTGTAGCCCCTTAGATTTTTTACCTATTGCAGTTTGTAATAGGTATATATATAAGATAGTTTTTAGAGGGATGAGAAGGGCAATCTATTGATGCTAATGACTGGCACCAGTCTCAGTGCTGGTTCCTGCAACATAGGCGAGTTATTAATGAGTAAATGTTTATTTTACAGGCACTGGGCAGTTTTTATTAAAAAACAAACAAACAAACAAAAACCCTAAAAGAAGTCCAGTCTACAGGTCTGTAGTGTTGTGGTAGCTGTTCTCATTCCTTTTTGAAGTATAGCACAGTGATTACATGTGCCAGATGGTAACATTTTATGCATTTTGGTCTGGACTACTTCTGAAATAATAACTGAATGTTAATGAGTGGTAGCTGAATTGCTGAACTGCTTCTCTGTATGTCCCTATGTTTTAAACATAATTTCATATTTTGTAGCTTATGGTCTTACTAGGAGAACCAGGATATCACAGGGTGTACATTTCTTTATTTAGATAATGTGAGCTGAATTTCACCAATACAGGACACCAGATCTGTATCAGACAGTTTTGGCTAAGAATGAGTTTAATCTACAACTCTTCTCAACTTCCAATGATTAGGTTTAATCTTCTCAGCTTACTTTTGCAGTTTCAGCAGCTACAAAGAAAGGTACAGTGTCCATAGAAAATACAGCTAAGTACTACGATATGTACTTGCAGAGTATTTTCATCAAGAATAAAAAATGCAGGTTTTTTTTTCAGTTAATGCACTCTGCATAGCAAACTAACTATGATCAAACCTATCTTAGTAAACAGGTCTGAATATAAACTTCAGTAGAAAAAAACCTATAAATCTAAACCTCAGTGTTCTACTAGAGTTAAAGAATGATGTTCATTTGCGAGGAAACATATGTAAGAGAAGGAGGGAAGGAAGTAGATGCTGTGCATAAACACAAGATAGATCCACAGGTTTCTCTGAAAAGAATGCTTATAAGAAATGTTGGGGGGAAAAAGCTGCAACAGAGCACATACGCTGCAAATACAATTCACAGAATTTTGAAGCTATCCTTGTGATAAGTACAATAAGAAGTATTTTGGTACATTGAAATGTTTAGAAAAGAAACGTTTGAAGTAGTGACAAATTAGTGACTGGATTTCTCCTCTCCAAACTTAGCCACAGCTAGAAATAGATGCTCAGTTACCGAAAACAAGGTAGTATTTCCACAAGTTCTACTGATTCTCTTTTCTAGTGTTGTGCTGCACTTTTTCCTGCAGGACTTCTCACTTCACAATGGGAGGAACTGAGTCCTTTTTAGCACCATCATTACCTCTGCTCACCTTCAGGTCTCTGTAAGGGCAACTCTGCTCATCTTTCCAAACATGAATGCACTCATCCTTCTTCCTTATCCACTTGTCTACCACCTCTTTTCCAGTAAGAAGTAACTGAGTATTCTAATCTTCTTTGATCTCATTGGTTCTTATTCTCTTTTTCCTTTCTTAGAAGAACAAAATCTTATTTGTGGTAAGTTTTTATGAAAGTCGTAAATGAGAGAAATATTCTATGCCATTAAATTTTGAAAAATTTCCACAGATGAAGGCCTAACAAATGCCCCTGTAAAGGTTAAGCAGTTTCAAACAGATGAAGCACAGAAAATGATAAGAATGTTTTATAAGATATCTCATCCAGCTACTTGCACTGGAGTGTCAGAGGCAGATTAGATTGCATAGGATACCATATGATGCCTGTGCTGGCAAGTTTTTTCAAAAGAGAAAAAAAAGCCAAGTTACACCTGACCATATACACAGCCTGAGTCAACGACGTAGAATTTAACTAAATCATGCCAACAAAGGTATGCATGTGGATGCTTGTATTCATGCAGTTTTTGGTAGGTGTTCACTTATGTGGGCAGTACCGAAGAAAGGACTGTAGCAATCCTTTGTAAATGTAAAAACATTTCAGTGCCTAATCTCAATTAACAAAGAAATAATTTCAGTTTCAATCAATTAAATGTAGATCAGACCGTGGTGAGAATGCACTGCAGGACAACTTGTTACAACAAGAAATTTCACTTTAGCAAAACTATCAGTTATATCTGTCTTAGTATAATATTTAATCTGCATTAAGAACTACTACCCCATTTGAATCTGAAACTATTTTGCATCATACGTACTTACGTAGGTTGATACTATCTATAGATACATCAAAAAGGATATGAATTATACCTTCATCAACTCTGCAGACTGAAGTTTGCAGTTGGTCTTCCAGATGCACTAGTTTCTCACTTATTGCTTCACATTTCTCCCCCAGCTCTGCAGAAAATATGAAGAACTCCTACAGGTAGCGGAAAAAGAAATCATATTTATTGCCAATTGTACTTTTCTACCTAATATTTACATCAAACTAAGGGTGAAAATAAAATATTAGTGGGGGGATATGATGTTTTGAAGTGCAAAGATATTGTTTGAAACCTAATCCAAGTTAAAGAGATAAAAAGTTATTAATATACAGTAATTTGTTGATTTATATGGATTGGAACGAACTTGTCGTCTCAGTCTATTTCCCATCAGAAAGAAGCCATGATCTCACTTTCAGCACAGGATTAAAGGAGTGTGAAGTCTGAACTGCTCTCTCTCCTCCATGTTGTCTCACCACAGCAGGGGAGGGAAAGCTCACGCTGACTACACCATTTAGGTTCCTAAATTTTAAGTTGTTTTTCTAAATATGATTTACACATTGAGGCCATTTCATCATTTCATGTAGCGTCACTTTTGGCATCTCATACAACAACAAAAATATACTTGCTGCCTGAGGAAAAATTTGGCTAGAATACTTAGGAACATTGCTGAACCGATCAGAGAAAACACATCAAATTCTTAGGAAATACAAAATGAAACTACACTATGTTACTACACGTAACAAGTATAAATCCTCAAAAATAATGGTTGTCCACTTACAACTTTATATAGACAAATGCTTCTTCTATTTTAAATTGAATATTCTGAACTCACTGCAAAAGCGGTTCCTACAGATTTGTCTGCTTTTGGATGTACTGAGCAAAGATAATTTATATCTTTTATATTGCGTATTGACTTCCTTTTTGAGAAATGACTCAGGCAAGTGTCATATTTGAGTGGAAAAAAATCAAATAATTTGTACATCACTGAGACTAATTTCTGTCTGCCCCCATCCCTGAGGGGAAAGGGGGAAAAGACTATGGTATCAAGATGAACTTCTGCTGGAACTATGTTGAAAAAAAAAATGGATCATTCATCAGCTGGAGTCCAGATAACAATATTTTCTCTAGATGTGTATGTACTCATGTATAAAGCCAGCTACACATGTTGCCATCTACAACGTCAGAAAATTTTTGCTTTGAAAAAGTACTCGTAGTCCTTTGCACTGAACTGCTGATGTAGTAGCAGGCATCACTGGCTATTTGAGAGAAATCAAACCTTCAGGAAATCTTGCTAGGAATTGTTGGAACACTGCCCATCGTGAAGCACTCTGATTTTTGGTAAACACATTTACCAGTCTTTGATTTCATGCTACCTTTACAGTTTGTGTCATGCACTGTGCACGTACAGTCAAATGTCAGAAGAGCTCTGCTTGCTGGTACATCCTCTGTTATGTCCTCTGCTACAGCACAGAGTTCTGCCCTTTCTGCCTTTCTACGTTTGCTGCCAAACACAGCTATTGAGCAGATTGCACAGGGATACAATAAGCTTCAGCTCAAAGCCTGGACAAGTGAGCTGGGGAGAGGTTATTCTGCAAATGCCTACAGCTTAGACATTCGGATACACATGAGAATCAGCTGTTTGAATCTCTGGTTGGTGCATGTAATCTCAGCAGCCACCTTCAGAGTCATTATCAGATACCAGAATTTATGATATCATTCAACAGAGTCTATGGAAGTAAAACTGCCCCATTGTTTTTAAAGAACGGGGGAGGAGAAGATATATGTTCTCTCTACATCAACTAGAAATGTCCTTGTTTCAGGACTGGGGACAGAAGATGAAGAACAGTCTTCCATCCAGCTGCTAAATTGTTATTCAATACACCAGCAGGACTCCATATGTTTTTAGGAAGTGGGATAACCCAGGCAATTTATATCAACAGAAAGCTTTTAGGGATCATTCTATGACACGCATACAAGAACAGATGTCAGTTGTCTAAAAGGACCTAGGCCTTATGCTAGAATGAAAAAATTCAGTAAATTGTAGCAAAACTGTAAAAGATTTGGTAAATTGTAAGTAAAACTACTCTGAAAACACATCTAAAATGATGACCATTCTAGACAAAGCTCCACATTCTGAGCAGAGATTTTTCTTTAGCAGTTACTCATAAGAAAATCAGATCTTCACATAACTCTCATCACAAACACACAAGAAAACAAGACAAAAAACATGCTGTGTTACATCATCATTGAAGAGGTTAATTTAGGAACAATCACTTTTAATTAATGCGTGGACTCTTAAGGGTTGACAGACAAAATCCATAAATGAATTCAAATCAGATTCTTTCTACAGATTGTGTACTTAGGCAAAATGAAGTATCCCTGTACCGATGCTGAGGAAATAGTACTTTACAGCATCACATAAAAGGCAGAGTCCAGCTCATGCAACATCAATGTATTGTATACTTTTGTCTGATCCATTTACTGCTTTTAGCAAGGCAATGCTGTTGACAGTGGGACAGTTTGTCCAAATAATCATTCAATGAATTAGTACTGCCACGAGTTGCTTAAGAGAAGATCTACAAATTTCCTCCAGTTTAAAATGGTCCTCATGTTTCCTGTCTAGTAAACAGAAGCACAAGGAGTCACACTGAGCATCTAATCTGAATGATAAGCACACTGCTGCATTTGTCTAGCCCTGTTGTGAACATCCACAGTAGAAAATACATTCCTAATCTGCATGCCAGTGAACAAAGAGGGTAAAATGGGCCTTTTAGACCTATACCCTCGCTGACCCTCAAATGAGATTAGAGAGATTGATGAGAAGCGTTTAGAGACATGGTTGGCAAAAGAGGTTCCAAGTTGCAAGTATGACCTAGTTCTGAGGTTCTCAAATCCTGAAAATTTGAGATAAAATATAACTACAGCTTGAAATTCACAGTAGCAGTGCAGACAGATGACTGTATTTACTGGTGTGTGGCTACCTATTCTGATCTCATGTTTGATATTTTCATTTTTGAATAAAACTTTACAGCCAAGTAAAGAAGGGTCTCAGGAGTAATGGAAGGAAGGGACCCATGAACAAGCCCTCAGACCCAAAGGAATTTGGGTTAATGTTCATTTTGTAGCAAAGCCATCTCATGAAGCTTTGTATCAATACAAATTTGTGTTTTGGGGTTCTGTGTTGTTCTCACATTAAACATGCTCAGAAATAACATTCTGTAATTGTTATAGCTATAAGCATTAATTTGTCAGCTGAGTACTTACATTCTCACTTAAAGTAAAATATCTGTTCTATCTCAAGTGTAAAAAGCATAGTAAAGCTACAGCACATTACAAGTACATATTGAATAGTCTAAAAATGCAACAGAAATCCTGTTTACTTCAGAAACTAAGATAAATGAGAAAATGAGTACTAGGAAAAACTAAGTGCTCAATGCAGAATTGTTCAAATAATACAGAGAGGCAGGAAGTAAGTTACTAGGTAAAAAAACCAATTAAACTTGTTTAATCACTGAACACTTGAATCTTATTTAATCATAACTGTAAGGCTATGCCTTTTCTGTGGTATAACTACAGAATGACTCCATAATTTAGGTGTTACATTCCATTAACGCTAAACTTCTGATGTGAGCTCTACAGCTTCAATATAGCAATAACTATGTACACATAAACTATTTTTGTATCTTTAAGACACAGAGCTGCCTTTCCAGCTGAAAAGAGAAGTTCCTCCATAGTTTAGACAAAAGCATTGTTTCTCAAGAAAATATTCATAGACATCATGCGAAACTCACAGGAGGGCTATCCCACAGATTTTGATTTTACAGCATATATGAATGGCCTATATTATTTTGGCCTATATTTATATATAATCATTTTTTATTATGGTGTAGTGGTACAGATAGCTCTAATTTTAGTTTAATATCAAGCTCTACATGAGATGGCAAAAACATATTGGTCTCAAAAAACAAACAGGAAAAATTCTAAAGATTCAATTAATTCCACAGCTCTCACCCCCAGATCCTCACATGAAAAAAGCACAACAACTCAGAGAAGTAGGAAAGATTCAGTGCCTTCTATGCCTACTAACATCACTGGTAGCATTTTTGTTTGATGTTTGTTCATGTAGGTAGGGAAACTGCTGGCATTGACACACACACTATTCACAACATCTCCTGATTGGAAAGTGGAACTGTACACTGATCAACAGCACTTTGAGAGGGAAGTGGACTCTGCTTCCAGCTTAACATATAAATAAGATACAACTCATTCAAGCTTGTAAGTGATGTCAGTGCTACAAGCTACTGTGAGTCTTAAGACTTCTTTAGTTATTTCTGCACTAACAGCAATTTTAAGAAGCAGATAGGAGAGAGATTGAAGCAGTCAGGAAAGAGCTGAGATGCAATATTGCTTTATGGATTTTTCTGTGAACTGATGATGTGGGTGGTTGGGATTGTCTTCAAAATCCTGAAGCTGGTAGAAATGGTACAAATTAGGATGTGATTTGTTATTTTTTTTTTTTAATATCTGAAGAATTCCTCTGCCTTCTCACGCAAAGTAGGAATTAGAAATCCTCCCTCTGTCCCAGGGATGTGAGAAACATGAAGAGCACACAATGTTCCAGCTGCTGCACAGCATTAGTGCACTGAATTTAAGAGCAGAGGAAATGGCTTCACTTCAGTCTCCTGCATTTTGTTTTACCTTTTCAACAGTCACTTTAGTCACCTATGAGCAACAGCTCCTCAACAACACTACTCAAGTTAAATGTTTGATCAGTTTTTCCAGTGCGAATACCTTCTATGCTCTCTTGAATTCAGTTCAAGAACTTTGTACAGAAGAATCAGTATTCCAGCAGCTAGATAAATCTAATTCTGCTAGGAATTAAAGTGTGTATTAGTATGGTTGCTGCACCAAGAAGCACAATTCCAGATACATCCTGAAAATCTGTTCTTCCTTCACAGGAACATAGTAAAAAGAAGTTGCTTTTCTTCAACCTAGCAGTATCATCACCCCAATGAAATATTGAAAATAAAAGCCTTAGAAGACCTGCAGAACATCATAGCCAGAGTTTTTTTCACCAAAAAATTGCTCTCTCTACCAAAAAAAAATCTTCTCACTACTAAATCCTCTCGCTCCCATAAGAAGTAAAATCATTTAAAGCAACATAAATAACTACAAAATGCCACCCTTGGAGACAGATACTTCTTGTTGTGGCAAAGGGCTTAGAACAGTGACTTATTGTTTGCAGAAGTGCTGCATGCTTGCCCTCACCCCTCACCGAAGCTAATGGAAATTGTGAGCACTTGAAACTCCAGAAAGTCAGGCCAGGGCACTTCTTAAATCATTTCTAAGAATAAAATGCAAACATCCGTATGCTTGTCTTGCTTGAGCAGATGTTTGTGTCACATGCAGGCTGCGTGCATGCACCCTCAGTTAGTGAGCAACATAGCCATAGTGTCTAAAGCACAGCTGAAAGAAGCCTTTGCCTCTGCCCTGCTCCCAGAATTCCTACCGAGTGCATTGCTGGGGCTGGTGCTGAAGATTAGGAGGATGAAGCAGACACTGATAGCAGGTCTAATCTCAGACTCTGAAAATAATAACTCTTACTCTTGGCCACCATCATCCTGGCATCATGGCACGAATGGCAATTTAATGAACATTGTATTCCTATAGGTTTTCTTCCATTCTTCAGCATGCCCTATCTTCCACATAGAGAGATGTGCAGACCAATGTCGTATTCATGCGGAGGCTCTGACATTCTCAACTAAGCACAGTAATTATTTCTTACAACTGACATTCCTGTTAATGAGGCTGCAAATGACTTTTGCTCTTTCTTGCAACAGGATCATGGTAATGAATCCCACTCTATTTGTAGTCCATTATAACCCTCCTTTCCAACTCTGCAGTATTGCCATCTTAACTGTTATTTGCCATCTGTATACATAAACACAACTTCTTTCTTCTCCAAGTGTAATTTGCACCTGTCTTTTAATATATCCAATCGTATTGATTTCAGGCTACTCTTTCAATTTATCAAGAACATTTGGAATTCTAATCCTAATTGAAGTTACATTGACTGGTGCACAGACTCCTAGTCTATCTCCTTTTTAAAGGCAAATACCAGCTCTGCTTTTTACTGATCTCCTGGGACTTCAGCCTTCTTTTGGAGTTCCCAGAGAACCTTGTTAATGGTTTGGGGATTGTTTTCCTTGGCTCCTATGAACTTCAGAAGGAATTTCATCAGTCTAGCCTGACTTGAGTGCATCTCATTTACCTTCGGACCCTTTAGCATGCTCTTCTCTTGCTAGCTTCAGGTGAATACTAAGAGCATTCCATACTTATGGACACAATTTATTACTTCTAGAAAGACCAATAAATAATAAATAAATAAATAAATAAAAATAATCTGCACTTTGTTCTCTTTTTATTATTCTCTCATTTACCCTTATTAGAAGACATATCAATGCTTTCTTTCAGCTATCCATATGTATCCTTTACCTCTGAAGTCTCCTGCCAGTTTGCATCTTTTGCTTACTACTTAATGTGCACTGAGGTCTTCCTGATTCACTTTTACACTGTGCTTTATTCTTTTAGGCTCATTGTTAGCAACATTTTTTCCTTCTCAAAATTCTTTTGGGCCACTAAAGAGACTCTGACATAGACACAGTCTGTAACTGTGTGCTCTCTTCTGCACCAAAAGGATATGATGCTTTACTGGAAATATGACATCTTCTGGAGAGTAGCGAAAGTCATCTGCTGCTTCCTCCTACCTATTGTTCCCTCGATTTTCTTCAAGTGATTTTTTATTTTATTTTTAATGGAGATAGCTTTGTCTTCTCTCAGAACTAAGTTCAAGTCTTTTTCCCAATTACTTCTGCCCTTATCACCTTATACTTACAGACTGCTGGCTTGGTCCATCAGCCTACTTGTGCATATTTGGGAGAATTCAGCACTACAACATGCTCTAGTTTTTCATATGCAACAAATCAGGCATAAAGCTTTCCAGACAGCTGTTTTCTAACTGTGAACAATCTCCTCCCCACAATCACACGCTTTTCCCGCATTCCCTTTGCTTGCACTGATCCCTCCTCTGCAGGGATATGACAACACAAGAGAGTGTTAAATGACTCATCAAAAGTACAGCTTTATGTTGGCAATTCTTCCCCTCATGTCTCTTCCACTACAGCCAAGGAGGAATATCCTTGAAAAAGTAGGTATGAAGACAAAAAGCTTTCCATTGCCTTTCAGCAATGGAAACAGTCCGTGTGACAGCAGTCTTTTTGTTCTCATCCTGTAGACTCAAGGTCTTCCCTGAGTGCAGACTTCCCAAATCAGTGCAAAATACTTCACTGGCTCATCTAATGAAACTGTGACAATTCCAGTTCCAGTTGTGGGAAAATAAGGCTATTTACTGACTCACAAATAAAAACTCACAGTGGGCCAGGACTTGGAAAAGAAACAAAAGCACCAAACTGTTTTCTAACATCCACATCCTGCTGTGATAGGAGTCACCATAGCTGCATACCATTTATAGGTGGCTTGTAATATTGTTCATTCTCATCTCTGCTCCCAAGTCACTTAGATGCAACAATCTGGAATGACTAACAGAGTGACCTCCTGCAGGCAAAGGGGAGACTGACAAGGATTAAGGGACCAGACTGTCAAAGGAACATTTGGGCAAAGCCTTGACATGGTACGAAGTGCTGACAGTTTCACAGATTCTTTATAGAGCTGTCTACAAGTCAACATCAATCCAGCTGTGGCAGTGTGGTTGAGAGCCTGGACTTTTAACTCATTTCCATTTCCTTTATTTATATTTTTGCTCTCAATTTTCTTTATGCAATTTTCCCCTCAAAACTTTGAAAATTGTTCTGTCTCTGAGGACTGTAAGACCATAATTTCTTACTAAAGACTTCCACAGCATTAACCCCCTATGCCTGGGCTCTCTGGTGCATTCATAAGCCCAGCATGCATACCACCTTCATGTTCCGGGCTCATCTGCTGGACAACTTCTTCAGTCAGGGTCTGGGCTTTCAGTGCAGGTCACTGCTGCAACCCAAGGCATACTGATACAAAACTGGACACTCAAACAGTACGACTCCACAAACCAGTATGAATCTCCTTATGCATGTTATTACCTGAACTTCTAGTTTGCATGTAGACAGTAACAAGCAGATTTTTCTCAACACTTACTCTCATAGGAAATACTACTCAATTATTCTGGAATTTGCTCAAATATATTGAATAGGATCTGACATCTTTTTATTTATGAAAATAGTGTAAAATGACAAACATTCAGTATTTTTATTCAGATGAAATTCCTATTGACATATATTCTGCTGCTGTATGCTTTTATACTTCTCAAATAAATTCAAAGGGATTTATAAAGGTATTTTTAGTGGTACATAAGGAGCCAAGTAAAATATCATGATTTTGTTCTATTCTTAAGCATTATTATAGTGCTACAGTACAGCTGGCTAAATATAATCTATCCTATATTTCCCCAGCATATCCACTCTGTTGTTCATTTGTATAAAAAACATTAGAAAAGTGCAATTTAACTATAAACTCTCCAGAATACACAGTAATTTCACCATTATCTTTTACAGAATAAAAGAATGGGATTACTCTATTTGTGCCTATGCCATTTTTCTAAACGTCTGAGTACTTCATAGTGATTTTGCTCTCAAATTTTTACCCAAAGGTAATGCTATAGAAATAGATATCATTGGTTTTAATTCAGCCTAAGAAGAGTCTGTATAATATCGCCACTTTATACTGTCTAGAAAACACTTACCTCAGATAAATGACCCTCTGCTCCAAATGAAATGTCTTCAACAACCTGTTAGATATAAGTTATTAAATATATGGTAGATAGAAGTTGTATAAACATTAAGATTTCAATGGAACTTACAAAAACGGTATAGCACATAAAGTTATATAAGATGAACAATTACATCATTTCACTACACATCTATGAAATATTTCAGTTGGGTTTATAGTGGAGCTGTGGCAGCCACCCAATATTTGAAGCTAAATTTAAATACGTTTTATTAAAGTCTGACTTCTGGCTTCTCTGTTAAAACCAACATGGAAATGGGCTCTAAAACTGAAAAACTTACTATAGATTGAGATAAACTTATCTAGTGGACTTTTACCAACCTACATACACCATACAGAAGTCTACAAAAGTTTTCTAGCACAAAACTTCTAAGTCACTTTCAGCAAGAGAAGTGAGAGAACACCAGAGATGGTGTATATAATAATCTGTGGTAACTATGGTTCCTCTCCCAAAACTTAATTGATCTGTAAACTCTATAAGCAATTAGCCAACATTTCCTTGATTGGTTGAGGAGCAGCCAAAAAAACACTCAGTTAATATTATTAGAAAAGCATTAATACTTACCATACACAACAATATAGAAAATATTTAAATAAACTGAGATAGGGGTATTGCTTTGATAGGTCAATACTTATTATCACAGGTATATATGTATTTGTATATTAAAGCATACAGTCATTACTCTGTCATGAGATCATTGTTATTATTGGTCATTTCCTAAGTCTATCTGAAGAAAGGTTGTTTAAATTTATTTTACCTGTAGTATTCATTTTCTCATTATAATTTTACTGTAACATAATTATTGCATGTATTGAGGCTCGAGGTAACAGTTCCTAAGAAGGCCAATGGTATCCTGGGGATCATTAAAAAGAATGTGGCTGAAAGGTCGAGAGAGATAATCCTTGCCTTCTACTCTGCCCTGGTGAGGCCACGTTTAAAATACTGCACCCAATTCTGGGCTCCCCAGTTTAAAGAAAGACAGGGATCTCCTAGAAGGAGTCCAGCAGAGGGCCACAAAGATTATTAAGGGCCTGGAACATCTCGCTTATGAGGAAAGGCTGGGTAACCTGGGTCTGTTCAGCCTGGGGAAAAGAAGACTGGGAGGTGATCTGATTAATGTTTATAAGTATCCAAAGGGGGGTTGGGAGGCAAATGGATGAGGCCAGGATCTTCTTGGTGGCATGTAGCGATAGGACAGGGAGTGATGGCCTAAAACTTGAACATAGGAAGTTCCATACTAACAGGTAGAAGAATTTCTTTATGGTAAGAATGAGGCAGCACTGGCACAGGTTGCCCAGAGAGGTGATGGAGTCTCCTATGGAGATATTCGAGATCCGTATCTGGACACCTACCTGTGCTACCCATTGTAGGATACCTGCTTGAGCAATGGGGTTGGACTCTATGAACTCTTGAGGTCTCTTCCAGTTGCTGCAGTTCTCTGATTTGGTTCTGTGAACTCTATCTAAAGAATTGGCATGATGTTTGCCAATAGCTATGACAGAATTACTCCCAACTAAGGGGCATCTTACTGCACAACAGTGTGTGTGAGTGGTCAGCAATGATCTGACCATTGCATACAAGCCAGCTGCTTTTTTTTTTTTTTTTTTTTTTAACAGCAACTCTTTCCCTGGGTTAATGCAGAAAACAGTCAAACACTGACTTTCACTCATGCTTAATGCTGACATTCAAAAAGATGATTAAATTTAAAGTTTCCAAATTACTTTTAAAGCTCTACAAACACAACATTTAATTAAAACTCAAATGAGAGCGCTGTTTATTTAGCTTTCTAAAGGCTCTGTCCTTTACACATGGCACAATTGCCTCCTGGATCACAGGCTATCTCAATTCATGCTAGTGGGCTGCTGCCTGCTGACTAAAGCTTTCTTGTTGGTTGCTCTTGCTAAATTCTGAAAAATGTGTCATACACTGTGATGACTTCTTTTTAATGAGAGACTTCACACTGAACATTACATTTTTTCCCCCACGATTGTCCATTTAATATGACTTTTTACTTACTGTAAAAACAGTGAGTGATATGAATGTTATGCAATGAAAGAACACTTTCCCAACACCAGTCAGTGATCAAGAAAAGGTTATGAAATGTCTTCCAAGGTGGCAAAACTGAAGAATGCAGATGTGAATAAAGAAAAACAGCTCTAACTCTTACCCTTTTTTCTTGCTTCAGTTATAGTGAAAAAAGAGAAATCATCCACAAAGAATTCTGATAGGATTGGTACCAAAAATGCTGACTTACTAAAGTTAACACTACTGAATTTTTATTTATTTTTTTTACCTTGTAACTTTAATCACCTCAATTTTCTTGAAATCTAGTAGGTGTTTCTTTCCTTCATAGTGATTAAGAGGGAACACTGCACAGCATGCCAGGCAGCAGCAGCAAAAGAAAAAAGGATAGGTCAGGAACTCCAGCTTGCAGTGCACACATACTCACATTCATCAAGACACTTGGTATTAAGGAGGTCCCAGCACACATACATCTCTGTTTATTAGTTATTGTTGATATTTCTAGTGTTATTAAAAGGTTTCTTTTACACATACATTACCAACAAGCAAAGGATAAAGCAAGATTTCCTAAAGAGTAGAATAGACAGGCATTTATGTCTGAAGAGAAATGAAACGCTACTATACTTTTTAGAAATCACTTGTACTTATTTATATCTAACTACAATTCTAACGATCTCGGCAACCTGGATCACATGCAACGTGGGCAATGGAATTTGCATATAGTTTAAAAGCTTGGAATATTTCTGGAATGAAAACTAGAATTCATATTGAATTCCTCTGAGACCTGGGAGAAAAAACAAGTCCAATTAGTTCACAGAAGACCAACTGGAACTCACTGGCAGAGCACCTTATTTTCAGCAAGTCAGTCACTGTATGGAAAGTACATGCCTGTATGAAAATTCAAGAATCTATTTTAACTACATTAGACAGCAAGCTGACTTTGACATGACTGAAACTAGGACCACTGTCTATCACTTTGCTTCATCATTTTTAAAAATACTGTATTCGTCTGAGGTATCTGTAGTTGAGGGGTATACCTTAATTTCTAAGTAAATCAGATTACGTGAGGATAATTTTTCTGGCCCTATTTTATTTAATTTGACCAATAAATGAGTAATGATGTTTCAGTAAGCTGAGCTGCCAAAGCACATGATAGCCTTCGCCAGTTAACAGTCAGTTTTACAAATGAAGCCTTACTTACACTACCACAGTTTATTGCACAAATGAACTGGGGAAAAAAATACCACAGTGCTGTCCTAGAAAACAGTTATGACGACTAAGTAACTATTGATAGTTAATAAAACTGTGCTCACGTTTGATGGTAACATATCCGGACTTTCAAAGAATTTACACCTTGCATATTTTATATCAGGACAAATCATATATAATGATTTAAAAACGAAAAACAGCCATCCTGCAAAGTGGTATCTGAGGGCCTAAGGGAGGGGATATTTCCATTCATCTATTCTATTTTTCTTATTCTTCTGCTTCTTGTTTCTTCCTTTCTGCATACACAGTAAGATATAATTATATGCAAAATTGTATTTATAATATACATCAACAAAAGCAAATCCAGATACAACACGATATATAACTGGAACACTTCGTCTGTAGCATTTTGCCATCAAGCAAATGAATTCCCTGCACCTTCAAAGGCATCTGTACCTGTTTTTGTATTATTACTCCCTTGCTGTACTCTTTTGAAGCTAGCTATTCAGTAAGCTCTAAATATAAAGAATGCCACTCTTCATTTTGCTTCAGTGATCAACCCTCCTTTTAGGTATTTCCTGAAGTAGAACAGAGAGGACAGTTGGAGGGATGGATCATTCTAGAAACAAGGTAACCACATTAAGTTAATCCTCTCACAAGGACAGCACAGCCTTGTAGATAATACCAAATAGGGTATCTTGACAAATACATGTTTTTCCATTAGATGCTTCCACTTGGTTATAAAAACAGACACCAGTAAGACTTTCTTTGGGCAACCCAGCCTTCTGACTACTGTGACTCATTCCAGAACCAAATATCACCACACTTCATTTACCTTTATGTCATTCCAGGGGACAGCAGTCCCACTTTTCATGGAAGTGATTTGGGCTTGCAGATGAAATGATACCTATTGCATGAATTTCAAGAGTACTGCAGGAAAAAACCACAACACTGAACCCACCAGGGCTTCTCAGCTGCTCTTTAAAAAGGGAATCACAGCTTTCTGTACCCAGTCAAGCTGCTCATATTACTTCAACCTACTCATCAGGGATATAATATGAAAAAAAAAAAAAAAAAAAGAGATCACAGAGAAAAAAACTTAAAGCCAGAGATGACCATTTCCAACAAAAATGCCCTCTATGTGGATTCAATCTGCAGAGCACCTTTCCTAGCCTGCAAGTACTGATGAACTCCACTTTAAAAACAGAATTTTACTCAAACAGAAGATTTTTACAGTAAGGTAACACCTTGCTTTCTGCTAAGTCTCAGCCAGAATAAATGCAAAATGTGATATCAGCTTTCAATGTAATGCACAGTTCAGTGGCACCTAGCACCACATGTGATTAAGCACACTTTCAATTTTTGTCAATCAAATTCCAAGGTAGTAAAACTGACATCTCCTGTTGGAGCGCCTTTTTGTCACATTACTGTTATTGGGTGATGAAGCTTTTCAACAGCTTTTTTTTTACCTTGACAGTGCAGTGATTTTATTTGTTTTTAGGTAGTTAGAAATATTTAAGCAAGGATGGCATTCCAGAGAAGAACACAAAAACTTCAAAGAAATTTCTCAGATCCTTTAACCCCCATGAATTTTTCCTTCTTTTAAGATTGGCTATGTGCTGGAAGCCGACTGGAAGCTGAGCTACAAAGCCTTTGACCTTTCCACTGGAGCAGGAAAACTCACACACTCCCCACTTCAGCTAACCCAGGGCTAACTAGTCAGCAGAATTAATTCAGAGTGAAACTCATCGGTATGATGAGGAGCAGCTGGTAATTTCTGTTAAATACTTAAAGAATCTTTAAGAAAATTGTTTTTCCTTTGAACCCTGATGTATACTCTGTATTCACTGCCTGAATAATTTCCACATTTTGAAAAGACTGATGGTTCCAGGAAAAAGAGTTGAAGGGCTTCTGAGTAGTTAATAAGCTATTTTATTCGTCTCTCATATTGGAGGACAGATGTTAAGATCAGTCTTAACCTGCCCTGCTGACCAGATTTAACTTTTTCTCTCAAAATAAGAAAGTACTATTGCTTCAAATCCAGCTACAGGGTATTCCAGATACCTGTTTCAGCTTACTGTGCCTGGCACAGGGAACACTGTCCCACTTCGTGCCCTTTGGAAAGTGATCTTCTTTCTTCTTTTCAGAATCAGAAGGGCCATCAGCAGTCATCTCCAGCTCGTCCATTTGGTTCTCCACTTCCTCAAAGCCACAGCAACTGGTTTCTTTCAGTTGAAACCCTCGGAGCAACAGCTGACAGGCCTCCAAGTCAGCTTCCCACACTCTCTGAAGCAGCTGGCTCCCGCAACTGAAATAAAAGCCAAAAGAAAATAAAACTGCAGTTCAGGGAGAACAGTTGCTATTTCAAGTAACTTCGGGGTTACTGCTTGTGATTAGATAGGAAAACAAAAACAATGGAAAAACAACAGCAAATCGAAATGCTTCCACGGAGTTATTTCAAACTGAAAAGCAAAAATGTGATGGTCTTATTGCAAAGCAAATAATTAAAAAGAAATCTTTAAGATGTTGTTTCCAACTGTACAGCGTACACTGGCTACATGTGACCATCTCCTGACTCGGTGCAAGTCCAGAAGCCTTGCACTCACCACCAGTGCTTTCTTGATTTTATCTGGTAAGCCAGCCCAAAAGCAGTCATGCAGCTTTTGAATTCTTGTAGAAGATAATGGATCAGCAATCACATTATTTACCATGTTAAATCAGCTCTAGTGTTTAGAAAATAGGTACAACCATGACTTCTAATTTTTTCATTATGCAGAAATGTGCATGCTTCGACCTAGAGAATCAGTTTAAGCTGGTAATACCCTCTCTTTCAGACTTCTACTTTTGAATGTTGTCCTTAGCTCTCCCTAAAGTGTTCTTTTGGGTTTTCTTGTGTATGTGTTTTTTCTTTTTAATTTTGTAATTCTACAAAAAAAAAAATTATTAGGAAATTCAAAATACCAAATTTCTTCATGCTTTTAATCTATTACTCATTTCCAATAGCTGTACATGTACATTATAAATACATGTAAATTACAAATACTGAGATTTGTTCAAGTAGATATTGTCATCTGAAGTAAAAAAGGAATTCTAGGAATAGTCACTTCTCCAGAACATGGCACTGAATACTAACATCACATTGCTCTGAAGAGATGTGGTCACATCTCCATTTAATACATCTTGTCTCTAAGGAACCAAAGGGATTAAGTTGCCTGCAAAAATATAGAAGATCAGTGGTATGGCCTGGAATGGGATTCAGAAGCACTGATTCCCATGGCAATACACACTTCCAGGCAGAATTGAATACTAATATCTAATAACCACAATACTTTTTCTCAGTGCTTTTCAAATTATATAATTTGCAATATAATAGCAGGCAATTAAAACTGATTAAAAGAAGGAAAATAACTATTTGATTTTAAATTTTCTGACCAAATTAAATACTAGCTTATCTTTTATTCTGTATGAGGGATAAAGGAGCTGTACTGCTTACAATGAATTCATTAATCTAACAAAGGTACATTTTTGAACTCTGCAAACACAAGATGCCAAGCTGTACATTTCACAAAGCAGTATTTTGAGACTGAATCAAAACTGGGTTCCATAAGCTGAGGTACTCGATCTGGTCTTATAAGTCAGAACCAGTGGTTATTGAAGGCAGTATGCAGCACGAGGTCTGCAAATTGGTCTCCCTCATGTTGTTCATAGTGTCACTATTTAGTAAAAAAAAATCTTGACTGGATTATAGTTCTATGTAGGAAGCATTTTACTTCCCAAACCAGAAACACTAAATAACCCCCACTGTTTCTGTACTTGTCAGTCACACCATCATGGTTGCACAGAACATTTCTTGGCAGATATGCATACGCCCATTTACTTGCTTTTTGTGGAAGTTTGTTTGCAGTTATATATGCCATATTATAAAAGGATCAAGACACACTACAAACCTGAATAATAATTTTCAGTGAATAGCTTTGTTTTGGCTCTTCATTTTAATGAAGAACTCTAACAGAACTGGGACAGAGATACTGATACATGTGGTACACACAGTGGAAAGGATGAACAACATACATAAAAGTTATTGTGCCTGGGCTGCACTTATTCATCACCGACTCAGCTTCTTAGTCAACATGCTTTTGGTTATGACTTATTCCTGTTTTATTAATCAGCAATAACTGAATATACCTCTATTGGGTATATTGGGATTGGGTTTGTGTTTTATTATTCCTATATTTATAAATACTTTAGGATGTATTAATCTCCAGATGCTATATGCCTGTCTGTACATTCCTAATGAAGTGGTATGTGTGGCAAGTTCAGCAGAGGTGGGAGAAATTATTTACTGGAATCCACAACACGTCACAATCCATCAACCATTTATACAGACTCGGTTACAACAAAGCATACCTTAATCACCCAAAGATTCTGAACTTCCAAGTGCCAGAGGGCTCATGAGTCCCAAGTGCTGGGTTTTGTACAAATACCATCCAGATTACAAAGAGCTACATGCAGGCAGGAATGTTCAAAGAAACACTGAGACAACAGTGGACTGAACGTAGCACATTAGTCACAGTACAACAGTTCAATTAGTTACATCAGCAAGTAATTAGTCTAATCACAGTCAAGCACATGGAGGTATCACAGTGAATGAGAATTCCAAGGATTTGCAGGAGGCCAATGAAATAAGTCTGTGGTTGCTGAAATTTTCCATTCCTCCATAAACTAATCATGGAGGAAAGACAAAAGATGCTAGTATAAAAGCATAATGGGCAAGCGATGGATACCAGTGTTGTTCAACATCTTCAGATGGAAGGCTAGCTGTTATGTTTAACGTAACAGAAAAGAAGGAATCAGTGAAGAAAATCAAACAAAACGACATGATCAGAATCACAGAGTTTAAAAAGAGGAGGGAGAGAAAGAGAACAGTCACTGCATTAGCAATGGCATTTTGACTGGATGAGGGTAGGGCAAGACTGCTTTTGTCAAGTTGATGTCAGAGAAATGTATGTTGAAATAACTGAGATGCAAGACTCAATACAAGTAATTTTTTATCTGGATGGATAGCTCGGATGGATCTTATCTCCATGATACCATTCAAAAAGAATCTACACCAGCAGGCCTAGCTGACCTGAAGAGTGTCTGAGACATCCACAACACAAATAGAAACAGGAAGGAGAATTCTGGATTCAGTCAAGTTGATGATGATGAAAGAACTGTCACAGAAACAGAGCTGTTTATAGACAGGAGGAAATGACTGTGGAACAGAGAGGCTTATCTGTAAGCTCTCTTCATACAGCAGCTGTTGAAATTGTAGTTGCAGATGCTTTTGCAAAGTCTCAAGTAGGAAGTGGCAGCCATATGTAGTTTTCCAAGAAACACCACCAAACACCAGGAAGTGCAGGAATAAGGAGGGCAACTTCAATCTAAATGTAACACTGTGTAAAAATCTTGTTGAGAGTCAAATCCAACAAGGATTCTCTTTCTTCCTTGAACATTGCTCCTCAGTCTTTCCACAAGATTCCCAGAAATACCGAAGGGAGTTCTTTATGTGGCTCTCAGCACATTATTCTAAAGCTATTTATAGTGTTAACTGGAACTCTGAGAACACGACTTTCTTATTGAAAGCTTTGCAGACATACAAAAGGCACACTCAGTTCCGGAATATTATACCCTAAATGAAAACATGCCTATGTAAAAATAGTCAAAAGACTTTACATTAAGCCTCATTTAGAAAAAAATCCCCCCCAAACTCCTAGAAAGTAAATTGGAATCAACACAGGGAGATGTCAGTACTTGTAAATCTCACTGTCTCTCACTTTTAGGAATGCCAATTTGTGAGTGAACTGTTAAAAGTGGTTTATGACACACTGAGGTCAACATTGTATGTTGATACAAGATCTTGCTTATTTTAAGGACAGCAAGGGGAAATCCCTGTAAGAAGCCACTGAGAGTAAGAGCAGAGCTAAAAGTCTACATAGCACAACATATATTTGGAAACTGCATAAACAAAGGCTAACTTAGGAAGGGTGATTAACTAAGAAGATCTACTCCAGACAATTTCCTTCTAATGCGTGAGCCATTACCCTTTTCCAGTACTAGGCACGTTTGTTCACACGCTGTACTCACTGACACTCAAGGTAGTTTTCTCTTGACAAGCAAACAAAGTGCAACAACAACAACTGGGCAGAAACCAAAGGGATTTTCACAGATTTTCACAGTTAAAATTATGGGAAAATAGTGAGGCTGATGGAAAACAGCAATCAGAGTCTTTGCTCTATACACGGCTTCCCTGTTGTTCTACTGTACAAACTAGGGAAAGTTTGTATGTATTTTGGTCTCTAGTATCCTACTTATATTTTGCAACACGAGGAAAGAACTATATTTTCTTACTCCGCATTTAGTTACATCTTTGCTGTCTTTTCTTAAGGCAACAGCCACACAGTGAACAAAGCAAGCAAGCAAAGGAAAGAAAATATGGAGCAATATTTAACTGACATTAGAGTTAATGTCAGAGTAACTGAAATAGAGGATGGAAGAAAACCATATTGCTTTACTCTTTGCAGAAACCCACCCTTCTGATTTGTTTTATTGTCTTAATTCGTTCATGTATTAAGAGCTCTATTTGTATTTGCCAAGTATTTACAACTTCAGGAATATGGGTAGCTTTTCTCGTTTATAAAAACAAGGTTTCCAGCCTGATTTGTTCTCAATTTTAATGTTAGCTGAATATTTTAAGATACCTACAGCAAATCTGCTGAACAAACTGAGAACTACAGTATTCCTATCAGTATGTCACAAGAGGCTATAGGCAGAGGAAGGCTCATAACCCTGTTTTCCCTGTCCATCTGGCTGATGTGCAACAGCGGTTTGATAAGGGAGAAGGTATAGCTAGGGCTCATTGTATTGCTACTCACAGATGATGAACTTAGAAGAAAAAAAGGGTCAGGAAAAGGGAAAAAAACTTGAACTCTGTCTGAACAGCAAAACTTTCACACACACACCCCCCATGCCTGCACCCCAGAAATCACCTTTTCTGAATGTCTGAAATAAAAAAAAATCTTTTTTTTTCCTTTTCTTCCTGCAACTTTCTCTAATCCTATAAACCCCTTCTATACACACCAGTCACAGAATCTCAATTTCACAACTCAATTCCCTGCATTGTGCCTCTTCTCTGCGATCTCCTCAGGAGCTGAAAATCTCATGAATTCACTTTGTATTGTTTTGATCATGTGTTTCTCCCCCAGTGTGCGAGAGTTATTTTTCCTACTCCCTTATTTCAAAGCTCAGTGACAACACTTATTTGCTGTT